TTCCTTCTGCAACCTATGATTAAACACATATTAATGTGTGAACGGACAGCTCTGCCTTTGTCGAAAGATGGAGCAAGGCTATATCACAATCTGATGACTGGAATAAAATTTCGATGCGTTTCAGTCTGCTATCAGCCCTTTATTACGTACGCTCCATTTTTCTGAAACACTGGTCTGGGCAAGGGCAAGCATCATTTTGGCCCCACATGACAAAATTTTTCATTGCCATAAATTCACACACTTTCATCCCTGCTTCACCTCCCTCTGAGTTTCACTGTGTCAGCATTGTATGCACAACTGCAAGAAAATATATGATGACTACAGATTTATAGGATAATTAGATTTGTTGTGCAGCCAAAGAATCTAATGCTGGCTGGGCAGTTTTTCTCAGAGTATGTGGGTGATATCTAAGGTGTTCCGATGCAAAAGTCTCAGTGGAGGACTGACCCAGAGATCCAAACCTACCTGCCTCATATCATGACAGGGCAAACATCTGTTTACTTAATTTCACCTCTTACTTGCAAGACACACCAGAAATAACAGTGATCCAACTCCAACATCCTTGCTAGAATTATTTTGTGTATTTTGATAGCAAATGCACCAATCTGGTGAAAAGAAACCTGTACCTTTGCTGATGATCAGGCTACATTTTTCCCCTCATTGCTATGACACTGGGTGCGGCTGGAATAACATCAAACTGATGTCCAAGTTGAGAGTAAGTGAGCAGACATATTTGAGGCCATGGCCAGTTACACAGAGAGGCCTGACTGAGCACCCATGCCAGGGGTCTCAGGCCTGGCCTCAGCACCCAGAGCAGAATGATGAGGATCCTCAGTCAGCCTGCCTGTAAGGCCCACCAAGGTTACTGTAAATTGATTTGTGCTAAAAACAATTATTACATTATTACTAGCTTTCTCCAGTTTTGACTCTGCCTCACCCAATTTCACAAAGCCAATAAAATCATGAGAAAAATGACTTTTCTTTGCCATTAGTGTTTATGGTGCAGTGTGTTACAGTGCCTTGGCAGCCAGCCCTTTCATCGATGGTGGTATATCCATTAGGACAGACGCATGTGTAGGAGCCCTCAGTGTTTAGACAGTCTCCTTCTCCACAGATCCCCACGATAGTTAAACACTCATTGATATCTGTCACACACAAGGCCAAATATACACATGCATGAGGTAAGCCACGGGAAACGTTTAACTGCCAATGGTATATTTTAGGTGTCAGATGATCCACAGGGCATATGTGTGTATAAACCTCTGCAGGACATGTCATCCGCCAACTCCAGACCACTGGGGCAAGAGCAGCTATAGGAACCGATGGTGTTGGTGCACTGGCCTCGCAGACACGTAACAGGCTCCTTGCATTCATTCACATCTGTATTGACACATATAGAGATGTCATCAGTATGACCCATTCACACTGGGTTTTGCTTCAAATTTGTCCAAGTTTTCTCATTTGGATGAAAAGATTCCAAACCACAGTGGATTTGTCATAAAAGTCATACATCATCTACATCAGCAAATAACGACTTGTTCTTACTATACTAGGTCACACTGTACTGGAACAGATGACTGTGAAAATAATTACATAGATATCATAAACCTAAAACCACAGTGAGCAATTCACTGTGTTATTACCTTCACATGAGAGCCCACTGGGTGCCAGTGTGAAGCCTGGGTCACAGGCCATGCAGGAAAAGGAGCCTTCTGTGTTGGTGCAAACACCTGTGGGGCACACACCTGGGGTCTGGCACTCATCAATGTCTGATAGACAACAGAAGCAGAAAAGGTTAGCTATAGGTTATCATCTTAAGCAAAGTCCTTTTTTTAAAGTTCCCTATCTTATCTGTTAAAAATATTTCATAGCAAAGTCAAAGAGAAGTGTTTGAATCCAAAACAGCAAGCAATTACAAGTGGCATATAATTATTGCACTATAAACAGTCACAGGCTCACTGTTATGTGATCACTGGAAATTTCTCGAGCTGGTACAGATGGTGTTTCTAACAGAGGACATAGTGCGGGCCATTGTTAAGTCAATGAGGCAGATCCATTTTACCTTTAAGTGAGCAGAACGAGTTCAACAGGGAAACTTAATGCAGTACATGGGGAACAGGGGAGTGGCTGACTTCATTTCATATTAAGTCCATAATGTTTTCCATGGCATAAGAGACATTCATTAAAATCCTATTAGACACAGACTTAGATTTGATTTGTACAATCAGTGCAACGACACATAACAGTGGAGGATCTTCCTCTCAGGGTAGATCCACAATTCCATTCAAAAACAAGGCACAGTATTTATGACTAACTGAGGCCATGTTCGAATCCATTCAAATAATCATTCCTTTTCTGTTTCCCATGAGGTCATGACAGAGCTAACCTCCCTGAATTCATCAAAGCAGCCGCTCCACTGCATTGATCTCATAAATCATGTCATGACAAATTACTGAGTACTGTAAAGATTTTCTGTAATCATGCTCTGGGTCTAATGCAATCCTCTTTTACTGTGCTCAACTGTATCTTTGGTCCAGTGTTTACAATAGTGACAGCTTAAACTGTTCTAAACATGTAAATAAATACAGGGAAGCTTTACCTTCACAAATGTAACCATCCACAGTCAGCTGCAGGCCGGCTCCACAGCTCCTGCAATTGTAGGATCCTGGGGTGTTCAAGCACAGCTGGCCAGGGCACATGTTAGCCACCAAGCACTCATCCACATCTGGACATAAATACATAGACACATCAGCCCACAGATTACCATCTCTGGCTTCAAATAAAATAAAGCCTGCCAGTTGTAATCAGTTAGATCAGTAATCACTGGAACAAGAAATTACTTGCGTCGACACCTCTGTCTTTTTAGCAGAGTTATCTGCAGGACATTTGCCTGACATCATCTTGTTTTTTTTGAGAGATGATGTTTCACTGTATTGAGCAAGAAGTAATGAGCAGTGCCAGAGGCAGAGAGCTCCATGATCCAGCTATGATGTGATGTCTAGAAGGAGTATTTTGGGATATTAAGCCAAGAAGAAGGGGCTTTTGGTCCACACTGTCACACCTGATGATGTTTATGTCCGACCTGAACCAGCTGGGAAACATGTTCAGCAGAACGATATGTTCACTCTTAAAGCATGGCCTAGCATGTTTTAATGGAAAAGGAAGGCATACACACCTCTGCTACAGTATACAAACATAGCAAAGCACAGTGCATCACAACCATAGCCAAAAGACTCACCTTCACACTTCTGTCTGTCCTCAGAGACTCTGAAACCGTGCTGACAGATGATACATATAAAGGAACCCTCAGTGTTTGTACATGTTCCCTGGGGGCATGTGGTGGGTAGCGCACACTCATCAATATCTGGTGTGAAATAACACACTGTTAGGCAGTCGCTGAAGGACTGGGATGGCTCTACAGCCAGGAGAAAATCCGTAGATTCGTGATGAAATGCAAGAAGCACTTTTCACTAGCAAGTCTTAGAGCCTGGTCCATTTAGATGAGGGGTGTTGACTAAACCAACCTTCACAGAGTTCCCCACCATATGAGACCCTGTATCCTTTAGGGCAGGTCTCACAGGTGTAAGATCCTTCTGAGTTTAGACAGATTCCATTGGCACAGGTAGACAGGAACTGGCACTCATCAATATCTGAGTGAAACACACCAGCACAGACATGCTTGGACATTACTATAAAAATGAATATGGAGGGAATTCAGTTGCACAGCAAAGGAGTTCAGAAAGTTGTAACAGTACTAATGATTTTACTGAATGAGAAGCACAACTAGAGAACAGATTTACATACCTTCACACCTTTTCCGGTCCTGAGAGACCCTGTAGCCAGCTTTACATCTGGTGCAGGTGTAGGATCCCTCTGTGTTGACACACACCCCACCTAGACACATGTCTCCCAGGGTACACTCATTCACATCTGGACACAAAAAGACCAAATTCACCACAAGTGGGAAGACAAATTATCAGTCTCTATCAGTGTTTGTCCAAAACTGTAGTTTACTGTGAATCATTAGGTAGCAGATTTCATGCCTTCACATCATCGCTGACTCAAAGACCTCAAACCTAGAGTCAGGTGTGGGCGAGGCTGTGTTTGAGGTCTTTGAGACAACATCGCTGATTCGAGTTCAGCTTCAGGGGAGGGGCTGTGTGCTGTGCTGTAATAGGGCAAGGCTGTGGAGCTACTAAATATTCAGTTTTACATTTGGCGAGACATTTACATTTACATTTACATTTTCATTTGCATTTACATTTACATTTATGTTTAACGTTTACATTTAACATTTAACATTTAACATTTACATTCAACATTTAACATTTAACATTTACATTCAACATTTAACATTTACATTCAACATTTAACATTTACATTTAACATTTACATTTAGACTTTGTCACATTTATCTAAATATGAGAAAACTTGTTGTCACATTCAGCTAAATGTGAGATAACCAGTGTGCTATTTTTACATTCGGCGCCCCATAGAAGTATGCAGTGATGAGTTACACCCAACAACTCTAGATAATCCTTCGCAGACCTTCACAAGCTTTGCTGTCTGAAGTGACTTGGTAACCATGGTTACAGGTGCATTTGTGGGTGCCGTCCAGATTGACACAGTGGCCATGGAGACAGACTCCCAGGAGCTCGCACTCATCCACATCTGGAGGAAAGATACAGAGGGAAAAAAGGGGGCCTCAGAAAATAAAGACAACTGGTAACTCTTTGTAACCATTTTAAAAACCCTCAGTGGTGCCGCATGGCTTCTGTAGTAGCACTGTGGAGAACTATTCATGTTACTTTGATACGGAACATTAACATCATCTGGTTGATCTTTTGACTGACTGTTACCTTGGCAAATGTTTTCCGGTGAGAGTTGGTAGCCTTGGAAACAGTTGCACCTATAGGAACCCTCTGTGTTGACACACCTACCATGACCGCACACCATTTTGTCCAAGCACTCGTTTACATCTGAGAACAGAAAGGATCAGAAAAGATCTGATTTTAGCTACTTTAACCTGTCTTGATTACACAGTGCAATTAATGGGTCAGTTCAAAAAATGACAAAAAAAAAACAAAAACAAACACCAGATCTCATTTACAGTAATTCTAGATTTGGATTTTCCAGGTTTTGCCCTCTGAGAGTTGTGTGGCCAACCCAGTATATTGAAAGTGAGTGGAATCCCATTTGCGGTAATCGCAACATTGACTGATTCTTTATTGGAAAGTACAGGAGTTCTTTTTGTAGAAACTGAAAATGAAACAGCTGCAACAAGGAAAGAAACACTGATGCTGAACTTTGTAAATGCATTCGTTAAATATTCTAAAGCCCACAAAGTTTACCTTCTTCGAATCAGGGCTAAGGCAGAAAATTCAGAAACAGACATCTTCAAACCTGGAGAAAGGACTACCTGCATCTATTGTCGCAGGTAGTCTTTGTAGCAGGAAACAGCATTAAACAAAAATTTAAAATAGAGAAAAAGAGCTTTGAAAGCATGTTATAGCAGTATAGCCAACACTCACAGCACAATTAGAGTACAATATGATGGCAAATAGTATTATGCTTCATTTTGTACACAACAGTGCACAGACCGAAGTCTCATTCATGAAGGCCTTTTAATATTTGTGGCAGTAGCTGTCTTTTCCACTTCATGAGTCAGAACAGCAGACCCAGTAATAATATTAGTGGAAAAACCCATTCAGAAATAAAATTTTATAGTGGAATTTATTTAACGGCAGGTTTTTCATGTTTCATGAAGGTATGAGTAGAAAAGTGAAGTCTGATTATGTGAGGAGACAAGGACATTAAAAAGGACATTAAAAAGTGGAAGGGAAAGGTGGGAAAGGAAGGAAAAGCATTTTGTCAACAAAGGAGGACATTACTGAGGAGCGATCGTGAACTCTCAGTGAAAACCCAGCGAGAGAGTCACAGACTGGGTTTTGTTTGCCTGGCCATGGGCGCTGCCAGACACAGGTCAGTGTGGTCCAGTGCTTTGTTTCAGCAATCATCGCTCAGGCATCCCTGATAAGCCCTGACAAAGCAATCCCTTTTCAGGCCAAGGGCGAGCTATTTTCTCTATCACACCAGCAATTAGGCTTATCCACGATTTGGCCAACTGGGCCCAAACTGCTGAGCTACGGTCAATTGACTGAAGCAAATACTGGAAACCCAGCACTCCAGTTGCCTGTTTTATATGACTCCCACAGTGCCAGATGTATACTGCTAGCCTGCTAACCCTGCCTGGGTGCATGTTCTGAATAAAATATTTATCTCTAGTGTTCTCCCTCATTTGCAGGGTTCTTCTAAGCTACTATTTATGCACGACATATTTACACAGTATGAATAATATTAGTGGACTGACAAACAGAAAGTAGCTGAAGTGATGTTTTCTTTGGAGGCAAGGAAATCATGAGACTTTGAAATAAGGGTATCAGTCATCAGAGTTACTGAGAAATAGGGTAGATTAGGAAGAACTCTGAAGCACTAGTAAAACTCATTTCCATATTTTCCATCCTAGTTCTGTTTTTTTTTTAACATTTCTAGAATTCACACTGCACGAGCTTAGGTTTTTAAAGAAATTATAGGGGTGCAAGGTCATAAAGAGGGGATGTGGTAAGCAACACTAGTCAGGCTGTTATGTAACAGGGGCACTTTCAGGCTGGGAGCTTCTAGTGTGTTAGCTTTAACACACACCAAGTGTAGTTTGTCAGCCATCTGTGTATTCAAATCTAATAATCTGCATACAGTGAACCTTGGCAACACTGTGGGTGTGTGGGAGCATTTGTTTGCATGGCATGACCCCTTCAATGTGGGGAATTGACCCTCTGACCTTCTCATACATCTCATGTGAATGCTCTGTCCTCTCACCTAGCCCAGCAATGCTAATAAAGTCTCACTGGCCTCCTCTGGGCCCAACAGTAGGGTGGCCAGCGCTCTCCAACAATAATATGCTGTTTGTTTAAGGTTGTGGCCAAGAGAAAATATTTGGACTCTCCTAAATTGAAGTATTATATACAATCCTTTTATGGAGGCTGGTGATATCAAAAGATTAGCATAATACTGTGGATGTGTTTAAACAATATCAGGGATATGCAGAGGCTGCTGGGTGGAGGAGCTGATATACTGCACATGGAAAGACTGAATGAAGAGAGAGGATGGATTGTTCTGATTGGCCTATAGCCATCATCACTGTGGTGTTGGTTCTCTCATGTGGGCCCAGGTGTGATCCACACAGGACATAAAACAGTCAATATAAAGTCATTTGAAGGATAAAAAACAAGTTATTTTATGTATATGTTGCACATGTCTCTTTTAGCAATAGTTGCAATTCTGAGAAACTAATTCAGCTTGTGCTGTTAGGTCAGCTGGACTGCATCACCGGCTGTCAGCAGGTCTTTAGTGGTGCAGCTCACTGCCATGTCGCCTTGGATAATTTTGGTGATGGCCAACCCTCAGCAGCAGCTCTGTCTACGTAAATGTTACCTAATACAGGAAGCTAAGACGGAAACCCAACTTCTTTGCATAAAGCGGTCAGAGAAACCCTTAGGAGTTTGGGTAGTGGTGGTGGTTCTGCTGCTTGTCTTACCCACACATCTTTCACCAGCAGGCCTGAACCCCGGGCTGCAGTCCTGGCACTGGAAGGAGCCAAGAGTGTTGACGCAGACACCGCTGGGACAGGAGCTAGGGTCTCTGCACTCATCTACATCTGCTCATTGAGAAGGTTGGACATGAAAACAATCATTTGGATTAAATGTTACTAAGACAGTGTGCACACATGCATGAAAGAAAGAAGATGCAGGGGCAGAAGTGAGCAGAGCTTTCTTTCTGGCTTCATCTGGAGGAAAATAAATGTGTGTTGTTACTGAGCTATACATTAACTCATGGCAGCAAGCCAGTAGATGTGGCTAGGACTGTGCTGGTATATGAACTTGATTATGTGTGTGTAGGTGTAGTGTCAACCTTCACAGAGGCCTCTCCAAGACTTGGTGTAGCCACTATTACATTCACATGTGTAAGATCCATCTGTGTTGACACATTTTCCATTCTGGCACTTGTTGGGCATGCTGCACTCATTAATGTCTGCCAGTTTGATTGAAAAAGAAAAGAGAGTCACTAGTGTGTTTCACAACCTTAAATAGGGCAGGGTGCTTTTTAAATGAGCAACACTGACAGACAAGAACTTGCAGTGCTATGAAGGAGAATCAGTAAGCTAACGTCATCCACTATTTTTCTTGCTGTCACTCAGGCTGTGCCTCACCTTGACAGAACTTCCTGTTCTGGGTGATCACCTGGCTATAACCGCTGTGGCACTGACATGTGTAGGAGCCATAGCTGTTTATACAGCGGCCCTTCCCCTCACACGGGTCCTCGTCACACTCATTCACATCTGTGATTGGATACAAAGGAAGAAGGTAAAGACAGAGAAGGAGAGTAGAAGAAGAAGTTGGATGCAACATTACATTACAGTTCCAGTGCACGCCCTGACTGTGGAGCTCCTCTACCATACAGGGGTTCCTCAGTGATGGGCCTGAGCCCAACCAAATGGAGCAGAAGCTGCGTCCAAGGCCTCCACCATGAGGTAAGGAATCATAGCACCGTGGCAGCTCTTTGGACGACGTGTATGCTGTTGTCAGGCATCACGGAACAAGTCAATATAAACAAATGGATCATTTTCATTTTGGCTTGCTCAATTTCTCAAGGCTTCTGTGCCATGTAATGTTTGGTGTTGAAGATTTGCTTGCACTGAGATGATGATAGACAGAGCCACTGTGGCCTCTGGTGTAAACATGTGTGTGTTTGTTTGCCATTTCTTCTTTTGGAATGTCCCACCTTTACCCCTGTCTTATTCCAGCTCCCTCTCTCTCCCATTGTTGCTTTACTTACCAATGCAGTTGGTCTGCAGTGCACTGAGCTTGAAGCCGAGTTCACACTGGCAGGTGTAGCCGGTCTGCACGGGAATACATTTTCCATGACCACATATGGTGGGGATGGTGACACACTTGTCAATACCTGAAAAGCCACAGAGATGTGGACAGCCGTTACTGAAAGCAGGCAAGTATGATTTATGACAGACACAGTAAAAAAAATTAAAAAGCATTCCACTAGCACATGTTGTGCTCCATGGGAACCCATCTAGCTGTTTCATAGGTGGAGTCTTGGATAGAAGATCAGGTTTTACAGCGCTGTATTGTTCTAACAGGTGGTATGGAGCATTTACAAAGGGGTCGGTGAAAAACAGGTCATGCACAGTAGAGTCTGACATTAATGTTGTTCTTGTCTTTTTCCTTCCAACAACTATGGTGAAAAATGAAAACTGAACTTAACCCCTGTGTACTGTATGTCTATTACTACTACTACTCCTTTTCTATAGGGTTGTATTAGCCTTCCTCTCACTCTCTCTATCATCAAAACACTTTCACAATGTTTTCTTCCATTTGCAAGGGGCCCCCTCTTTCTTGGTTTCTTGTTCTCTCACCCTCTGTTCTTTGCAGCATCTTCAAGCCAACTTGGCTTTGAGAAAAAGGGTCAAATAAAAGCGTAATATAAGCTTTCCCCAGCTTAACAGTGGGTAAGCCCACAAAAATGCCTCATAAGGTGTGCTGCTGTCTGCCAGCAGATGACAGAGGGCATAAAAAACAGAGTTCAGCTTCATACTCCTCTTGTGTGTGGGTGTCCTACGGTACAGCTCCACACCCACCTGGTGATTTTAGATTTGTATCCAGTGTTTCAAGGAAATACCAGCGTCTGACACATGTAATATACTGTAATATGTACTCTACCTGTGGCTGAGTCTGTTTGAGTTGTGTCCTTTGAATCTGGCCTCAGGTTGATGATGCCAGAGTCTGGAGACATTTCTATGGAAAGGGATCAAGGAAGTGAGTGGGTGTGATTACAAAGCACCACTAACACTGTCACAGATTAAATTATCATTCACTGCTTGTGTTCTCCACCATTCCAGCTTCAGCTATCATTCACTGCACAGCTGTATAAAAATGACCAGCCTTCAGATTTTAATGTCAATATTTTCACTCGTGTGAGAACAGAGCAGTCATGAAGTGAGTCTGCCGCTGGTGTGAGCAATTTATACTGTAGATAACACATCACATCAGCTATGTCTGACTGAAACTACTGTTGATCCTTCAGCCTATAGAAGCTACATCAAACTACATTAAACAGTTGTTGAACAAGTAGCATTATATGAAATGTGTTAGGAAAGTCAAGAAAACAATACCTGGATAGTTCAGTGGTGAGTCAGTCACAACAGCTGGCTAGAAAAAAAAAGCAGATATTACTTGTCAAAAAAAAAAACTGGGTTACTTTTTCATCACAATATTCGTGTTCATACTGTATATCTGCTCTTGTCATATTCAGTGCTAATTAGGTTTGTGTATCTTCCAAAATATGGTCCAAATAAATTATATAATCATAACAAACCCTCTAGCACAGATAGCTAGAACATATTATTCTAAGATAAACATTTCAAAGGCATGTGCCAAGAGGATGACAGGGAGGGAGAACGTACCGGGCTCAGAATTTCCACATCTACCATGAGAAAAAAAGAAAAGGAAAAGTTTATCAGTAGCAAAACTTGACATTCTCTTCATACTAACAAGAATCATTATGGACTACAAACAACATACAAAGACAAAAAAACATGTTCTTGTTAGTCACTTGTGTTGCAGCTGTGGAGGTCTTCATTTCCAATAAAACAAAATTTTATCCTTTAAGCCAGTCAGAGAAGGTTCTATGTGAAAAATGGTACAGAGTACTAGCCAAGGAAAAATGCAAAGACAAGTGAAGACATAAAAAGCTCTGATAATGGAGACAAAAATCCCTAAATATTTAGAGAATTGTCTCCTCATATAAATCAAAATGTCATGGCTGTGCCAATAAAAGATCTCACAAGCATTATTAAATCGGGAAGATACAGTTACAGAAAATCCTGAGGATTTAGACGTATGGACGATTGGATTAACTTGTGTGTACTGCTGTGATAATGACAGGGGTTTCACTTTGATGGATGCTGAACATCAACATGAATATGTTCAGTGCTGGATCAAGCATTTATTTACAGAGCTCAAAACATCCTGTTGATGTTTGCATTCTTTATAAAATGGCTAATCCATTTATATCGTGTTGGGGGGGGGAACCATTGTGCAATCACTCAGCTGCCCTGCAATGTTTATGCCATGGATTGTAGTAAAAACATTCATGTGCAGAATACATACAGAACAACTATTCACCTCTTTATCATTCAAAGTAAACATTTACCAAGCTAAATGTCAACGGACCGGCTATTTTATTCTCACCTTCTGGCTGTTTAGATGCCTCTCTGGCTGGGTGTGAGGGATGGAGAGGCAGCTGTGGCGTCAGAGGATAATGGGGTACTTGTGGCACCTCAGGGTACTGCGGTACTTGTGGTGTCTGTGGGTAGCTGGGGAACTGTGGCCAGCTGGGCCACAGTGAAGGCTGGGACGGAGGCTCCTCCCATGATACTCCTGTGCTCTGCAGATCATCTTCCTCCAGCTGTCTGAGAGAAATCTGCACATCAGAGCGCGAGTATGTATATCCATGACCAACTGGGCAGATCTCCTTGAAATGTTCTGCAGAGTAGGAAGCAGAGCAGCAATCAATGAACAATAGAAAACAGTGACTCCGTATGGTGCTCTTGGGCTCCTAAGGCTAACATAAAACACTACCAGAGTGTAATTGTGGCTCATATTTCTATTTGATATTTACAGCGATACCATAAGCCATCGTGTAATACTGTTATCTTGAGCACGCTGTGCCTTACTGTGTGCTGTGAATAAGGGGGTCGGGTTTCAGTTGTTGCCGCTGAGCTAGCTAGCTGGCAGGCCAGTGACAGCTGCTACCAGTGAAGGGATTTGAAGAGATTGGGAGATGTGTGCAAACAAACAGACACAACCATGGCAGAGGGGGAAGTAGAGGATCATGTAATATAAACTGACCTTTGAACTCTTTTGTGTAGCGGCATGTCAGTGAGAAACGAATAGAGGATTGGCTGATAGATAAAAAGAGAGAGACTACACTGCTGTGTGACTGAGCCCAAAAATCTTCAGCGATGGTGAATCCATTACAGTTGAAAAGTACTGTGTCCCCTACCTGACCTGAAAGCAGCAACTCTATTCCAGAAAGGTCTGGAATAGAGATGCAAGTAATGACAGATATGCGGTCACTGTAAATGCTTGTGTAAATGCAGGAAACATGAATATGATAGCCTACTGAATAATGAATTTAAAGTGAAGGGACATGCAGCTATACATGTATATGATTAGGAGCCACATTAGAGAAGTAAATGGAATGATCCTATAACTGACACACAAGTAATGGGCTTAGCTGCTTTGTTCGTGGCTCTAACAGCTTGTCAGGACATACAAATCCGAGGCTGTACATTATGTCTGTGTACTGTGTCAGTCCTGGCTGAGAAGCACCATGGGCTCCTGTGATATCTGATCTGTGACAATCTGAATGAATTACTGGCTAGTGCAGATATTCCATAAAACCAGACTGGTTCTCTCAGAGACTTTGAAGATTAGATCAGTACAGTATGAAAAAAGATGACAACAACTTCCCACGTTTCACTTGACCAAGCTATTTACTTCTGCTGTGAAGCTTTGCCTGTCTATTAGTAGGGTTTCTCTCTGAGGGTTGGAATGATAACACAAAACTGACTCCCACTATTATGTAACCTCCAAAATATGAAAACTGTTATGTTTTTGGTCCTTTTCCACTCCAAACATACTTGGTTATTTTGATCCGCTCTACATGCCTGGCAGGGAGCAGGATGGTGACTGTGTGGCAGCTCTTGCATAAGATTACATGTGACATTCTTGTATCTGCAAAAGCATTTAGCCCAGCAAATCGTTTTTTCAGCAAGTACAGTAAAAACCAGATATGGGCAGTTAAGTTTGCAGATTGATGACAAGGTAGATCTTGAGGAGAACTGGGACACATGCAGAAGGAGTACATGGTAACCTTTGTTGTCTTTACCTGATCCTGGTAAAGGACAGCGCTCACACCCAGGTCCCCAAGACTTGCCCACTCGGCTGCAGCAGCAGATCTGCTTGGTGATGTGTTGAGCAAGTGGCAGAGAGCATGCGCCTGCTGATACTGATCGGTAGCACAGTGCCCTCTGGTCAGACACTGCTTTGTCCGCTGAGAAGAAAGGCGATGTATCCATCAAATCAGACAAAGCAATGCATAACAAAAGTGTCACCTTGGGTTATGATTCAAAGAAAATAAGCAATACTTACAGACACAGTGACTCCTGGCGGCATCTAACATGTAGCCTGGTTTACATGTGCACCTGTAGCTTCCTTTGGTGTTGAGACATTCAGCATTCTTACAGATTCCAGGCAATTGGCACTCATTGATGTCTGTGAAATATGCAGTATCTCTTAATTTCTGATTATGGAAGTGTGCATTTCCTGTGGCAAAACATTTTTAAAATACCACTGAACCCCTCAACTACACTTGGTACAAGTACAACTATCAGATGAAATGTATTGCATTTTACAGGGAGTTTACAGTGTTCATGCTTGCAGACAAGCATGATGTAAGGCTTTAGAAATCATGTATACCTTGAAAGGTGACATATTACCTTGCAAAAGCTCATGCAGTCAAAACTACCAGCTGCTGGGAGGTGATGAAATATGAACACTTGAAGATTACACAGTTGAATGAAAGCAAGATGGGAGTGAAGACATGGTGGAAACATGCACAATAACTTTGACTACGGTTAAGGAGAATATACTTAAAACAATGCATCCTTTTGAGTATAAAATATCACAGCAGTGGTAACACTGACTGTTCAGTAAGGTCACAGTCTATGTCATGAAGTGAAAGCTAAAGAGTTTTCCCCCTGTCTGGTCTGAAGCATGTGCTGCAGTGACACAGTGGCCAGTGGAGTTTGCTTACTGCTCCAACAGCTCCTGGGTCACTAAGCCAAATGGAGCCAAACTAGACAGTTAATGTGCCAACCAGGGACATAGGTGCCTAGTCATGTGGGCACATTGGGACCAAGCAGCAAGTTTGTTGTTCTACATCATTAGGTCTTTTCTCCATTGCTTTGATGACTGCACACCAACAGCTTGCCACCACAGATTTTCACAATTCTAATTAATCTGTGCTTGTGTTGTTGTTTTGCTTCCTGTTGGAAAATGTGAGCTTATAAGGGATTCAGGCTGATAAATTCTGTAGACTGAAACAAGTCCAGGGAACACCTCACTGTTGCTTTTGTTGCGCTGTTGTGCAGTTGTTTAGTCTTCTCTATCTCAGTTGCCCTTTGTTGTTTCCATTTGTGGGTGCACTTGTCTATCTGTCTCCTCTGTCTCCAAAGTCAAGTCAAAGTTGGCCCTATCTACCCTCTATGTTATCACGGTGTAAACGTCCTGTGTCTCTGTTAAGATGATTAAGGATAAGGATATGCTGTGAAGACAAATACTGTATGCAGACCACTGATGCCATGCCTGCCTCTGCTGATATTCACACTAAAGAGCTAGGAACAATTGTGTGGTTTAGTTTAAGCAGCATTTTGTTTTGGTCAGAGTTCATGTCAGCATTGGCCTGAGCCCTCATCACATGGGGTCTTTAATCCATGGTTCAGTTAAGTCCCAGATCAGTACTATTGTTACAGTCTGCTGGTGGTTTGATTGGGATTGAAACTGACTTCCATGACAACCTGCCATGATCAGCACTAATCTCAACATCTATTTTAAATTTATGCTTGGTTGTTTCCAATGACAAATATTCCTTGCAGCAAGGACTCTCAATTGTCCAACAGCTTTTATCATGTCTGTTTTTCATTGCTTGATGATGTTTTGTTGACTGCAATACACAAAGTTTCCAAACTCTATGTTAAGTGTCAACCAGTCTGATGTGACCTCACTTGTCCTTGCCTGAGAAAAAACAACATTCACACAATCCTCCTGCAGAATTATTTATGGACACTGTAAAGGAAAGCGGCAACATTACTCTCTTTATTAGCCACTATGGCCAATAGGAACACCTTATTACTTCTTTGGAAGTCTTAAACCAGACATAACTAATGGGGCCAAAAATGCATCCATCTGAAGACTGTG